TAACAGGGAAAGATAGGAGTATCTGGGAAACCAAGTTGGACCAGGCTATCAGCAGGATGAAGTGCTCTGAGAAGGAAGACAAAAGATAAAAAATAATTCTGAAAAGTCTACAGTAGAGTGGAAGGTGGTTATATGTCTCATCTTTTCTGCTACTGCGAACTCTAAATGAAAGTATTAAACTAAATATATAAGCAAGAATTCTAATCAAGAACACAGGTATGGACAACCTAAAGGAAGCGAAGTGTTCTATGCAACATCTGTTCGAAGCATGCTTGGCAGGTCCAGCTTAGCTCAAGGGTGCATTTTACAGCCATCTCTTCTTAAAAGAATAGATTAATAACAAATTTCAACAAGGATTTGCCCACCTCCTTTGTTGAAGTTTTGGGTTTTAGAAGCTTATTTGGCAAAATATACTCATTTTCTAAGTTACAAAAATCAATTTCAGAAACGCAATTACATATAGCAATTCTAAAGATTCCTTTCTTAGGAACAGATTCGTTCATTACCACTTAATAGAGACTTCTAAGCTTTAAAAAGTTAATGCTTACATTTTTCAGTAGCCACTGCATATTATGGATCTTTCATAGCAAAAATGGTATAACATTCCCTGTACTTAACATGGTTTAAAACCATTAAAATATATCTGTCCTATGTCATATACATTTGAAATCTACAGACTAACATAAGATCCTTACTTCTCACAACATTAAACAGACTTACTGTACAATTTTCATGCTATATAGGGCAGCAGATTTAAGTTCTCCGTTCAACTAAATGGAAAATTAGACAAAGAGTTTACCACTGTCTTTCACTTGCAGATATTAGAATATATTAAATGTTTTAACATGCCTTAATAACTTCATCAGAAATTGCTTCTTGCTTGTACTGTGTTCCATACCAGTCCTCTGTTCGATCAGTCTTTCCTTCAAAAGACTTGGAAACTATTGCAACTCTGAAAACAAAAAGACAAAGCATTTTGGCATGAATGTGTCTGAGAAAAGACTGAGAAATTATTCAGAGCACTATTTCTGTTCCATCACTAGAATGCATTTATTTCTGGAAATGGTCCCTGGACAATTACAGAGTACATTTGGATAGCAAGTGTACGTATACTGAACTACACACTAAAATTAACCATGAAAACAAATTATCATTATAATTTAATTTTCATAAAATAGTTTGGTTGGAAGGGACCTTAAAGATCATCTAGTTTCAACCCCCCTGCCACAGGCAGGGACATCTTCCACTAGACCAGGTTGCTCAAAACTCCATCCAACCTGGCCTTTACTGTTTTCCTAAAGTGTTACAACTTAGAGTTACACACAACTATTGCTGCATGCAACTTCTATTTTTTAGACTGTCCTTGTTCCAGAAAACACAGAAAGCAGTCCTTGACATATTCTACAAAACTGATGAAGTGACTACAACATTTTTCATAATACCTATATCAACACTCGAAGATACGTGAAAATACTGACTATAGAAATTTTATTCTAGACATAGTGATTTAGATTACATTATTGCAGTTTCACCCTCCCATTCATAATCTGTTACAGAGTTTCTCCATTTTGTACCATTCTCATACTTTCATTTCACACTGATACCTGTTTCTCTCCCTTTTTTTTTTTTGTTGTTTTTTTTTTTTTTTTGTGAGGGGAAGGGAAGAAAAGCAGGAAGATTAATGTACTTTACCATCAATACAACAGCATTATACTTAATTAGAAACCTAAATCATAGAATCATATAATTATTTCAAGTTGGAAGGGACACACAACGATCATCAACTCCCTGATTCTCATGGGACTACCTAAATCTAAACCGTATGACTAGGCGCATTGCCAGACGTTCCTTGAACTAAAGAATGCACTTAAGTAAGAGGAAAACCAGAAAAAAGAAAATTACAAATTTATCAGTATTTTTTCAGTAGTCTTCATAATAAGTATCAAGACAACTTCTTTAGTTCTTTTTAACCACCTACAGCACAAAAAAGTATTCACCTACAACACAAAAAATTACTCAGTGGAAATAAGTAGCTAGCTTTAAGAGTAAATAGATGTTCATAGGAATTCTGAAATGGTAAAAAAAGGTAGCACAATTACCTCCTACATACGTTTAACAATTCCTAGATGCTGAATAGCACAGGAATGAACTCTGTCAAATCTTGTGCAGACGGTTAAAATGCAGATTAAAAAAAAAAATCAAAATACATGTAATGTAAGTGTTCTTTTTAAAAAAATCATAGCATCTTCAGGCCAGGAACATTTTGTTGTGCATTTCTAATGTTCATGGCAAAGTGGGGCGTAAATCAAAACAGGCATATGGATGTGCCTCAAACTATAGTATTTTACTTTACAAATATGTCACTGGAGAATACCCTTGGGATTAGTTTTGCAATACACTGAAAAGTTTAAATATGTGGACTATTAATATTGTAAATGCCTATGTCCTCCCCCTCCTTTTCCATCTAACGTGTACACATAAATGACTAAACGATCCAAGAAGGCTGAATAAAACGGGATTCTGCTGTATTTAGTTCTAGATGTCCCTATTTTGAAGATTTTCAAATTACAACAATCTGTGCATTGCAGTTTGAGTAGCAGAAGAACAGTGGGGTAAATGCATTAGATGCATTTAAATAAACGGCAAGTACTTCTCAGAGTCACATGGGACTGTAAAGACACATTCTCTAGCAAGAGATTCAAAAATTGAAGCAGGACTTGCACCACAGACTGTCTAATTTTAAGACACTATTTTAAACCATACACACTAAAGAGAGGCAATCAAATTGCACGTTTCAGGGATGCAGATTTTCTCTGGTTTAACGAAGGGAAAAATTTTTACTCCCCACGTTTGAAAGAACCACATGATTAGCATGAACACGCAAACACGTACACATGCAAAAAACAACTCCTGCTCTTCTGCAAAAGCTAGGCAATATCCAAACCAGAATGAGAATATCCATCTTTGAGCGAAAAATTATTTCATCTCTCATTGCACAAGGAAATAGAAATGATTAACATTTCTATCATGATTTCATATAAAGTAGTTTCATACCTGTTTGCATGTTACATCTATTTCATTTTTTATACAAAAGGAACAAAAATAAATAAATATTCAGCAAAGAACTAAGCACTTTAATCCTAGAGAAATTTGTTCTTGCAACACAGCAGAGACTAGCTCAGTCAACAATGTGAAATCTATTAGAGAGACGGTTGTTTACATTAAAATGAGACATAGAAATATTCTATTATGTTTTGCATTTTAACTTGGACAGCTGGTGAGCAAAAGCTTTATCATGCGCAGATGAAGTTGCTAAGAGACTTTATGGTTTTTAAAGTCCATTAGAATTTCAGAGCAACCTACCAGGCCTTTCCATACATTAAATAAAGAAAGAAAAATAAAAGTCTTAAGTGAAAAGATTATCCTGATAAAATTCCAATAATCATGCAGTCTGACCAGCAAGACAAAGATGTTTTACGCTGTAATACACAGATGTCTCTTATTCAACATTCCCTCCTTCTACCCTTCTCCAACATACTGAAGCTCAAGCAATAGTGACAATCCAAGCACCCAAACATTTGCTGTAGGAACATACTAAAATTAAAAATAATTCTGTCTGCTCAATGTATAGAAAATGAAATTGTGGAAATCAGCATTGCAATTCTTCAAGCAGTTCTCCTTCAAGGGATCCTCCTGCCCTCCCTATACCCCAAATCACTACTGGAATGATTACTTGTATTTTGAGCTCTCAGAAACATACCCACAACCACATGAAACAAACCACAAGGCATTTCATCTGCATGAAACTTACAACCTAAACCAGGATAAAGCACAAACAGCAACGAACACCAGGACAGAAAAAGAAGAGGGAAAAAGAAGCAGAACAGGTAGGAATACAACGCTATGCCGATATTTAAATGTATCATGATGCACCTTTAAAGTTACCAATTATGCAATGTTACTTTTGCTTTTCATTCTGTGTTGTGCCATATAGCACAATGAACATCCACATAGTTTGAGACAGCACTGAAATGCACTGGAAAAGCAAGACAGGCAATCTTTAATAGGACCTGCTTATAACATATTTAAACTCAGCAGTGCAATTAGGTTTCCAAGCTACTCATGAACATGGAACACAGTTGAAACTATAAATGCAATCTACTTCTGTATGTACACTCTTGTACATGCAAACTGTTGTAGTCTTCAGTTATAGTCAATTTTCAAAACCAAGCACAATTTCTATAATGTCATATATATTTACTAGATACCATCTTGCTTCTCACTTTCCTGGAATCTAAAACTAAGCTACAAGTGACAGATCCACAGAAGAGTGTTACTTGGGAAGAGAATGTACACTTTAAAATGAATGTACTTCCAGGAAAGATTATCAACTATTATATGCCAGATTTACGTAACACAACTCAAGCTTCTAAGGGTGAAAAAGTAATAGACTTTGAGACCACAGTATTTGTGATATTAGTAGCTAACATGTCAAAGCAAATTTGTTGTAAAAAAATTAATTTATGCTTAAAAAGGAACAATTTTTTTTTTTAGGAACTACTTTAAACTTTGTCTTCTAAATTATGATATTGTCAACAGAAAAAATTACACGTATCTTCTTCAAATGCATAAAATAACATGACTGAGACAAGAACAGCAAAAGCCTAGATTTGTTTATAACTTCACCCAAAATCATCAATAAAATCAATGCGAGGCAATACAGGCCATTCAAAGCCACTTCCACACAAACCTCATTAGAAAACAGAGTAAGAGGGGAAACTACATGCAGAGAGAGGTTGCTGGGGTGCAGCACTCTAACAGTTCTGCAGAAGCACAAGTTACTTATTAGGGTTCGATAAAACTAAGTGTCCACAAACCCAACAGTTTGTGGGGGGAAATAAGTGAACAGATGGTGATTTTCAAAATCTTTACTGAGATACAATGCAATTAAAAAATACATACATACATTCTATATTTGTAACATGTTTAGTATCTGAGATGAGCATCACCAACTGCACTGAAAAAACTGTTTGCTCAGTATCTGTGAAATTCCAGCCCTTAGAAATTTCTGTATCAACATTTTTGGCATTCTTGTTGTTTTTCTTCCCTCTAGGATAGCACTGGCACTGCACTTCAGATTTCAAGAGAGGACAAAAGTCCATTTACTATCCAGGGGAAAACATTCTTTAGTTGCTTAATCTGATGAGTCACTAGCTTCTTAAATTTCAATAAGAGCATTTATGGAGAAATGATGGGAAAAAATTCTATTGGAAATGATGGGAAAATTAAATTTTTCAGCTAAGACTGCGACACATGCCAAGTCTATTCCCTTATCTTCACAGATGGCTAGCAAAACCCAATACAGTTTGGAGAAGTAAAAATCATACTCACATCTTAAAAAGGTTTCTCTCTCAGGGAAATTAAGCCACTAAACGCAACAAGTAGTGTGCGGGGGCAGGAGGGGGGAGGAGAATATGAAAACTTCCTGTTATGGTTCAATCAAATAGAAGCACATATGGACACTTGCTACCATCTGTGAGTATGGATATTTTTCCATACTTTTTAAAAACACAGTTTGTTAAGAAAATAACAGTCGAAATGCTAAACTTTTCAAAAAGACATTGAACAGCAGTCTCCAGCTGTGAATGCAGCTACCCCAATACAGACATGCTAAAAAAAGTCCTTAGTGCAGATGAATTCCAATAGGGTTATGAAGAGGAAATTATAAACAAAACTGCGATACGAAGGAAAAATCCAAATCAATGGAAACTAAACCATTGCAAGACATAATTTATGCAAGGCATAAAAAGAAAGAAACTAAACAGGAAAAAAAAAGCAATAGGCAAAGTTAGGATGATATGGTACATGCTAATTCTTTCATAAAAAGGAAGAATAGAAAGGTAAACATGAGCATAAATATCAGTAAATGGCAGATAACTCATATAGATATTT